AACACGCCCCCACATATCTACCTCACTATGTGGGAAGATTTGCGTAATGCCGCCCAAATGTTCACGCAAAGAAAGAAGGCGTGGTTTTTGTAACGGCAGTTAGTGTTGATGCAGCCATGTTAGGGAGACACTGTGTGTTTCTAGGCGAAAGCAAAAGCCCTTTATTTGGCCTTCCGAAAGTAGATGCATTTAGGAATCTTTAAGATTACTTACAACAGAACAGCAATGCATTTTATGGACGACCATTTCGTGAACCTAGGAGAGGAGGTAATTCTGACTTTGCTATGACAATCTGGCGCTTCTGAATCAGCTACTGTAAGTATGTTTTGTTATTAGTTTAAGTATTTGCTATTGACTGTTCAAATGCGGAGTTTTGCGCATCGTGTGTGTGTGTGTGCGCGCGTGTGTGAGAGAGAGACAGGGTCACATCACAGTGGAGTCAGCTGTCTTAACTGTGGCTTGTGTACTGCAAACACATACCAGCTTCATCACTGTGTCTGTCACGTGACTCTGTTCCCCTTTCAGGCTTGAACTGATGGTAAAACTTATGACATTATTTACTGTCTTTACATTTATTTTGAAAGATGAAGCTCGCGATTATAGTAAGGGGCGTTACATTTCCGACGAGTGCTTGCAGTGCTCGGCCAATCACAATGCACTGGGTCAGCTGGCCAATCAGAGCAGACTGCGCTTGTCGGAAGGAGGGCCTACGTAGAAAACGAAGCGTTTGAGAGAGGCGGGGCACAGAGGACCTACAATAATGTACAGTATTTGAAAAATAATGTGTTTTTTGAACATTAAAGCATGTCAACATATTCTGTTACACCAAATACACAAAATAATGATCTTTAAAATAACTCATATGACCCCTTTAAGTGATTTCTTGATTCAACAGGTCTGGCAGTAATCAGGCTTGGGTTTGGCTAGTGAAATTTAACTCAGCTTTCTAAAATAATGTGGTTAATCACAGATCGTTCATGATTTAGCAGGAGGGGGCCATTCATTTTTCACTTAGGGCCAGGTAGGTTTGGACAGCTTTTTCCCTTAATAAATGAAATCATAATTTAAAAACTGCATTTTGTATTTACTTGCATTATCTTTGTGTAATATTAAAATTTGTTTGATGATCTGAATCTTTTAAGTGTGACAAATATGCAAAAAATAAAAAAAAACAGCAATGGGGCCAAAAACCTTTTCACGGCACTGTATGAACACTTTTCGTCAATTCATGTATGTTCTACAGGAAGCATGGCGAATTTAAATAGCACTGTGTCAATAAGCAGAAATAAAACAATGAAAAATTCTGCATATCAGTAATAAGACAGATTAAAATAATTGGTAGGCTATTGGTCAGAAAAACAACACTGGTCAATATTGAAGAGTTACCAACTACAAGTTTGACCAATATTTTGTTTTTAACCAAGTAACACTTTTCTACATAATTGATTCTTTAATATCAGTTCTATGATAAATTGCATGGTGAACCTCTAAAAAATAGCACACAATTATTAATGTCTAAGTCAAATGATAAAGAAACAGCATTTTCTAAATGATTATTGTTGCTGTTTTTATTACTATTATTATTATTATTATTGATAATTAATTGAATATTATTATTATTACTACTGCTATTCATAATTTAAATGCAGTTTTAATGAATTATTTAGCTGTTATTGTTTCAATAATTGTTTTAAATAGTACGTAATGTTTTGAAAAACAACATAGAAGTGACTGACAACGTAAATTGAGACAGAGAGGCGTTAAAGAACACTAAGAAGAAAGAGTCTGTCTTACCTCGTATCAAACCGATGGACATCAGTGGAACAAACAATTTCATAAACATCATGGTCTTGTTTAAGATGCACCGATTTCAAAACGAGTGGTGCGGTATGAGTTTAACAGAAAGCACAGTCCCTTAGAGAACAATTATCCAGGTTCCCCATTTATTGAGATGTGACAGGAAAACTGAAGGTATTTAGATGTCCAATTCTTAATTTGAACTTGTCAGCCAGTCCGTATGAGCACCAGGCGCTGGACCGAACCCTTCAATACTCCCGATTGAGTAAAACAATTACGCGCATCGAGGCGCACTTTGAACTGCGCGCGTGGGTAGCGGATCGAACACAAATCAGCTTAAAGCACCGAGATTAAAGAAGAATGGAAGACCGTATCAACATAAACTTCAGGTCTCTGTCCAGTTGCAGCCTAGACTAAAGAGTGAACGGGTTTTCTTCACTCAGTTGTTGACCTATCGTCCTGAAGAGGTTATCCTCATCCATGCGCTTCTGACAAAAGTCTCTAAAAGCATCAACTGTTCTGAGGAAATTCGTCGTATTTGCTTTACCTAACATAAACCCTGGTCCCTGTTAAACTGTAGGATGTTTAAGAAACGTAAAATTAATTACGCGAACCAGCACAGGATTCAAAGTTGCGCCCAACTTGCAGCTCTCGTCTGATTCGCCCGGTGATTAAGGGCAATACGATTAATGGATCACATTTCAGGCGGAGCAATACAAGTAATAACTCATCGCGCGATTCAACAGTGTGGTCTCTCACTGAACAGTTTTAATGTGTGATAACGCCCACATTCTGGTTTGTAAAGCATTTTGGGGTATACATTTAAAGGGAATTTATTGTGCAAGCTCGTGTAAAAGGTGTAGCTAGTCCTACACCTCCCTCTGGTGCTCAAAAAATGAACATGCAATTTCAGAACTGCATTGCAGTGTCCAATGTTCAAACAATAATAAAGAAAGGACTATCTTTATGTTCTAATATAATGTAAAATGCAGTATAATTAAGACACTGCAATCGTATAGGCTAACATCACTTTAGTAGGCCTACTGTATAGAATTACATTACATTACATACTTTTGTCAAAACATTTGTGCAAACCCTGTGGAAGGCAGGGCAGTTTTTGTTAATAATTTCAGTACATACCGTAATGCACTGTAAACATTTCATCCCAATAAATAAAAACGTAATTGCTTCATTAAACTAAATTGCACTTTTTTAAATTAAGGATGAAAAACGGCCATGACTCTACATACGATCAAATGGTTCAGAGAATGAATAAAAACTCAATAAAAATTACTAAAATTGAGTAGAATTTTTAAGTTTAGATTGTAAATTGCAACATATTTGCCTTGCCATTATAACATACTGATGAAAACATTGCTTACAGCTTAAATCAGATTAGAATGTATTCCTATGATACTTTGGGTAGTATTGTGAAATTCATTGTTGTCATTTTATTTTTTTGTGTTAATTAAATACAATTAAATAGGCATTTTTCATCTCAATTTGTTGGGACTCCAAAGCAATAAATTAATGAGCAACATTTGTATGGTTCAGATGAATTAATCTCTTCATTTGATGTGAAGGGCAGGTTGTCATGGCTTATTTTGAAATCCTTTCAAATGTAAAACATCCTTTTCACACTCCAGCAGCGTTGTTATCAGCCGAGACAAATTAACAATTCAAAATAAATCAGTGGAATTAATTCTCAACTTCAGTGCTTTTCAAAAACCATACATTGTCACTTAAGGAAACACTGGAGATGTCACTCTCTTTAATCTCTTAAATAAATAATCATTCATTCCCATGGAAAATAAAGCAACAATAAACACTGGTGTGTGTGATATTCACCTGTCTAGAAACAGCATTTGTCTGTGGTGCAGATTGACTGAAATTTTAGCGGTATTGAATATGCCTGCATCCATCTTAGAAAATGACAATAAAGGCCTTTTACATGCTAATTTGTGCTCTAATTGAAATGCAAAGAGCAACAAACAAATAGTTCACTAGGGCACACCCACAGTGTTTACTGAAAATAAAATGCAAGAGAACCAAATGATTGGCAGCTGTCAGGGCACAACAGATCTGATGTATTTACTTCAATAAGTAATGTAGTAATGATAAATAGTGAAGTCAAAAAGCACAAGCAAAGATATTTATTTTGATTAATATGATCAATGTTTAAATTTCTTATATATATATATATATATATATATATATTTAAGAAAAATAAACATCGATCGTATTAATGTTTATATATATCATATTTAGGAAATGATGGCCCACTGCAAATATTGAAAAGAACAATATTCTTTATTCTTTTCTGCTGATGTTTACTTCTTTTCAGAAATTGATACATGTTTATAAAAAAGTAATCCATACCTTAAGGTTTTCCATTATTGGCCTTCTAAATCAACAGCAATTTATGGTACGCATTTATTTATGGTTGGGTATCATGAACTAACCATGAACAAACATGTGTTTATCTTAATGAAATGATTTTGTTTTTTAATGTTAATTTAAAAATACTATTGTTGGTTCCAAACATATTAACTAATGTTAACATATGGAATTTTATATGTTGAAATGTATCAATAAAAAAATTGACCATAAATTGACCAACATTTACAATAACTAATATAATAAATGCTGTATAAGTGTTGATCAGTGACTGATTCATTACAACAAACTGGTAAACTACACTATTAAATTGGTCAAAAGTGACAATAAAGACATTTATAATGTTACAAAAGTTTGTTGTTCTTTTGAACTTTCTACTAATCAAAGAATCCTAAAAAGAATTTATCATGGTTTCCACAAAAATATTAAGCAGCACAACATTTTCAACATTGATAATAATTAGACATTTTTCTTGAGCATATTGAAATGATTTCTGAAGGATCATGTCACACTGAAGACTGGAGTAATGATGCTGAAAATGCTACCACAGTAATAAATTGCATTTTAAAATATATTAAAATTGAAAACAGTGATTTAAATTGTAACAATATTTCACAATATTTGTGATATATTATCAAATAAATGCAACCTTAGTGAGCACAAGAGACTTCTTTTAAAAACATTTAAAAACTGGACCCCAAATTTTGAACAGTAGTGTAATAGCAAACATAAATACTGAAACATCTTGTAAATAAATACTTGTTATACTTGGAATTCCCTGGTAGCTCAAGGCAAAATGAATCGTGGGAAACTCTGCATAACATTTGGTAAATAGCATTTTCTAGTTCTCTCAAAAGGGGGAGACAAACGGTTTTCCTTCTCTCCTCTCTCGAATCCTCTCTCCTTCTTCTCCTTCCACTCTCCATAGAGCTGAAGCTTTATGAACCACAGGAGAAGGTGTCCTGCCAAATGAAAAACATCACAGACTGGGATTAAAACAGCACGACCATAAAGCCTCTGAAAGGTAAATGTATGGAAACTATAACCTCATGCCTGCTCTGGCAACAAAAGAGTTGGCCTGTGATTGAGGATTACACAGAGCAGATCAGCTTTTATGATATACAAGATAATGTACATCCTGTCAGAAAATTGCATGCCTGTCAGTAAAATGTATTTTACATAAAAGAATGACATTGGGCTCATCGAAGCAGCAAAAAGCCTTCATGATTCTCATCAGGGTATTTTACTTGGGGAAGGTGAATAGACATATTATGGTCATATGATAATGTTCTCATATGTTGTGGTCTGAGGCGTTGCATTAGTGCAGCATCGATGGGAGGGGCTGCTGCAGTCCACTGCAGTGCAGTACTTCATGCTGTTAGGTGAAATGCTGTGTGAGGCAGTTAGATGGAGCTACAGCACTGTTGTTATTGTCTGAAGAGCACAGTTTCATGGATGGTCCACCTATCGACAAGACTAAACATTTTAAAATTCAGGTTTGCTTAACAGTGTGCTTTCCTATTTTTTCCAAACCATTTCATTTTAGATTTCAGGCTAGATTTATTGACCACTCTAGATAGTTATTTCAAAGCTAATTATTAATTCATCTGCAATGCTTTTCATAGGAAGGTTATTTAGACCTTCACACGCTCTGGGAAAACAGAGCGTGTGAATATAATATTGTGAATATTTTTTTTATATAACAGCACATTTGATAATCAAATAGTATCTATATATATGTTCAAATGTTTTTATTCTGTACTGTGATATTTAACTCTCCTCTTTCCTTTTTTCTACCTAGAGTTTTGCAATGAATACAATTAACTCTCTGTTTGGGTGGATTCTTGCTTTGGGAGGTAAGAACATTATGAAGATGTTTTCCTAATGTTGCTTTTCATATGCTACCATTCTAATCATTCAAATATAAAATATTCTCTAAAAATACATTTTAATTCTATATTGAACAGTTCTCTTTTTTCCTACCTTTCAGTTTGCTAATGTCAATTGCTTGACAAAAGAAACAAATTCTTGATTTAATCAGAAATTATTTGATTAAGGAATATATAAGAATTGTATACACACACACACACACACACACATATATATATATATATATACACACACACACACATATAAAACAATAATAATATATAATATACCGGTAATATTTAATATATAAATATATAAGTACACTTTTCTATGGATACAATGTATCACAATCAATAATACATTACCTCACATATAGCTGAAAAGAAGATTTACCAACCCACTTTTGTTAAATGGAAAATTAACATCCAGTTCAAAAATTACAAATATTCAAAGATTCACCCTTTGTAATCCTCAAAAGAGAGAAAGTCAGTGTTGAGGAGGCATGAGATTGAGCAAATGATGACAACTATAATTTTGGGGAGTACTTTAAATGTAGTGCTGTACTCAACTCTTGATTTTTACAAAACATTGTGCAGATATGGCAAATACCTAACAGGCTCAATGATTTCTCATCTCCAGTTCTGATGATCCCAGTGTTGTGTCAGGATGAAGAGAGTGTAATTACAGTATGCCAAGAGGAAGATAACGACCTCAGAGTGGACTGCCTTCTGGAGCCCAGACACAACTACCACACAGACTATGAGTTCTCCATGTCTAAAGGCCAGAAGGAGATCATCATAAACACCAACATCTCTGGAATCATGCCTGAACCCAAGTTCAGGCACAACACGTTTGTGACAGAGCTTGAGCCATATGGATTCAGGCTGACCATTATGAGCTTCACCGTCACTGAGAATACAACGTTCATCTGTAAAGTAACCAAGATCCAGAAGACTCTGTCTGTTGAACTAGGTAAAGCAGCTGTATTGTGGCACTATGTAAAACTAAATGAATACTTTCTCTGCCTAAACCTGAACTTGTCTTTGCCTTTCAGACAGCATCGAGCCCTGTTCTGCCATCAGTGTGTTTCTGCTGGGTTATCCTTGGCTCAATCTTCTGGTTCCTCTGTGCATCTTACAGCTATGGGAAGCCTTTTAAGAAACAGTCAGCTATGCCATCATATTTGCAGAGTATAAATAGAGTATTTCTGTAGATTTCTCAGCATATTTGAGTATTTTTAGAAATGCTTTTCGATCTACATGCTCTGCCTTTACTGTAAAGTAAGTAGGCTACCGGTTGCTGCCTCTATGAAGGTATTTGTTTACTTTATGCTTTATTACTTGTCTAGCCAAAACACAACTGAAGACATGTTGTGTGTGCAATAAGTTAAAGGATTTTTAAGATTCTTGACTGCTATTAAAATTGTTGATGAAGTTATGTCGAGCAATTGT